TGTTTGGTCCACTTTTCTGCTCGGAAACAAAGGAGTTAGCAATGGTTGATTACCAGCAAGAAACACAAGTCGACACAGGTCTAGTTGTATCATCTAGTTATACCATTTGTCCTTATTTCGCATTTAGTAAAGGAAAGAATAATATATGATATAACTAGACTTGCGTCGACTTTGCTGGAAAGCAACCACTGTAACTTTTGCGCCGGTATTCATAGTCAGATCTTTTCTTTAAGGTTATCCCAAGTTCATCTTCGTAGAATGCTTTGTAGCCAAAGAAACGATCCGTTTCTTTGTACAGCATCTGAAAATGAACTTAAGACGATCATAAATATAAGATTTGACTGTGAATACCGCCCTTATAGGTGAGTCACCTAATATTAGAACCCGAAATATCTCCGTTATTCTCGATGATACGAGAAAATGTCTAAGGAAGAACATATTTCCTTCGAAGGGACAAATATTATTATGACTGAAAATTTTGTTCTAACATCATTTTTTCATTGTAATTTTTTAGATTTAATTTCAATGCCACCTGAAACTATCTTGACGCCAGGAGAAACGGAAATTGTGAACGTCATCAGGATCAAAATAGGGGTAAATTATATTATTAGAATCGAAATTGAACTTATTTTGCAATCTTACTATGCTGTAGAATTAAAAGTTTAACACAAGATCAGCATTTCGATTTAGCCGATATATCGCGGGAGGCGCTATCAGCAGCCTTGAATTTTCTCTTCTTAACATCATCGCTCTCTTCATTGATTCTCACGCGTCTTTTCTACTACGACCGTCAACACTTTGACGGCCGCCGTCACTTCGTACGTGACTTCGTTCCGGCGGGAACTATATCGCTTTATAAAGAAACATTGCTCGATAACGACAGTTTACAATTGCAATATTATATAAGTGCTACGCGCAACTAGATTTACGAATTGCGAGCGCAATGATCGCCTCTTTAGATATCGTCGAAGCGAGCTCTCGAAACCCGTCAACTTGGCAGCCGGCGATTGTCGCGATAGAAATTGCGGCCGTGTTAAAGCGTTAACCGACGCGAGAGTGGCCGAGTCTCAAAACGATCGGTTTCCGTTTGCCTTCGCATTCTCGTTTCACTTCGCTTGTCCGGCGCGTAGATTTGACGTGACCGCACCGGAACGCGGAGAAAACGCTCGGCCGGATGTTATTTCGGCGGAGAGAATGGAGCCATCGCCGCACACGCTCGGTGCAACGGCAACGGGCTGATTTCCATAGAGAAATGCGGGCTCGTAATTTCGCAAAATGACCGGCTCATTTGGCCTTTTTTATTCCATATACAATCGAGCGAACGTGCCTCATCCGCGCCCCGTCGCCTCCCGCGTTGCCGCAGGACTCGCGCGCCGTCGCCGTTAATATTTCAAGTTTATCCTCGCGATTGCTTCAACCGGCTGCCGGTTATACGCCTTCCTTCCACTTTTTCTTTTCACTTCTCTGTGTATTTTCCCCCCCCCCCTCTCTCTCTCTCTCTCTCTTTCGGAAACTCCCCGCATATCCCCGAGGTAATAGCGGCGATATAAATGTTTCACAATGTCGCCTCCGGAGCTCCGGTTGCCGTGGAATTTGATTAACGAATCCCCTGAATTTTCTCTCGCCCCCTCTCTCCCATGCGAGCGAGCGCGGGGGGGGAGGGGGGGAGGGACATCAGTGGATATCTGAAGTTCTCTACGACTGCTCTCCGACGAATTATTAATAGCGCCGCAGGATTACCCGTGTTTCGCGTTTCTCCGCGCTTGCATCGGGATTCATTTGTCGAAGCGCGCGCGCGCGAGAGTCCATTTATTTCCGCGCGCGCGTTTCGCAAAGACCGCGCCGAAGACGAGAGGCAGTGTGTACGTGGGCGCGTGCGAGAGACGGTTCGATCGCACGCGCGGACGGCACCACCGGCATTCGATATACATCGCCGTGCGCGAGTCATTTCACAGAGATTACAATTCCATCGACGCGTCCGCTCGAAAATAAAATTATAAGCACACCGCGCGGTGAATTCTGAGGCGCGCGCGTTATCGATCGGATGCGTTACAACCGGCGCTAATTGCAATTGACGATTAATAATTAACGCGCGCGTGCGCTCGCTACGTCCGTAAGCCGGCGCAATAATGCGTCGCGCGCGCGCGATAACCGATTCGAAAATAATCGCGAGACGCGGTCCGCGATTACGAGAGAGGCGCCTCGGAATTGGAGGAACGCGGGAGTATCGCAGCGTCCGAGGCGCGATTTTTCTCTCCGGTGAATCATAATGTTCTTCTCTCCTCTAGTTTTTTCTTACTGATATATTCAAACGGTATAAATCTTGCAGAAAGAGTGACGCAACGCTTTTCCGGGACGGCTCTGTTAATCGCCGACTCGCGCTTTCGTTCGCGATCGCATCGCCGAAGTCGCGAAGTCGCGTTCGGACTGAATAAACACACTAAAATTCATTGACGAGAAAATGAATCCTCCGGATCGCGACCGATGCCCAGTTTCGAATTCATTCGTCAAAGTATTCGGAGACCAACGGACTGTGCGCGCCGATTACTACTGTACGGGAGAAATCTTAGTCTGCGTAACTGAATATACCGAAGCAGCAGAACGGATATTTGAACAGCAGAAAGATTTGTCCGCCGTCTAAACAATCTTTTTTCGCTGTTATCATATTGATAAATATTTACTGTTCCAGCAAAATTTGTTTTCTCCGTGTGGTGGTCCGAAACACGAACAACATGCCGCCGGCATCGATCATCTCCCTTCTCCCGATTGCGCGCGCTCTGAGAAACCCATTTAGTCGAATCGACTAAAATCTTGCTTGGCTATGAGCAAACTAATTTTTTCGTTATAAGAAGGTTTGATACTTTGAACCAAAGGTTCGGTCCTTCGCAACCTCTGAAACTTCCGAGAAGCAAACCTTCGGTTTAGACAGCCGAACTTTGGTTGTTACGACCGAAAAATTGTCTTGCTCATAGTCAAACGAGAATTTAGCTGATTCAACTAAATGGATTCTCAGTGTGGGCATCGGGCGAAGTCCGTATGACGGAAAATGATATCTCCGTTGTTGCCGAAACCTTCGCGATGCCCCGAGTTGGAGCAAGCAACGACTCGTATCGAGATTGAATTACGAGACAACTAATCGGCGTCGTAAAGAGGCTTTCGATACATTCGAAATACTCAGCAACACGTCTTTTTCGAGAAGAGAGTTTCGCCGGGATAGCAAATTATTCGTTGATATAGCGACGGCGAAAAAATTTGTTCCATGGAAAAAATAACTCTCGCTGTTGCGGCGAAACGTTGTTGCGGTTGCAGCGATAAAATTGTTGGCGTAACCAAACAATCAATACTTTCAAGAAATCTCTTCGCTACCGAATATTCTCGTCGTTACGCATATTAACAAACAATTTGCCGTTCCGACAAAATTGTCTTTTTCCGCGCATACGGGAAAAGAAAAGATTAGCTTCGGCAACTGAATCAATCGTAACACTTAAAGGTTTCATCAGCGTGAGCAATTTGAATTACCGCAGCAGCAAACTCCTCTCCTGCCGCCGCAGCAAAATGACGTTTACGATAGCACGTTTGCTGCTGCAACAAAAAAGTTTGCTACCGCGGCAAAAGAATTTGCTAACGCGGCAGTTAAAACTGCTTACGCTGCTGAAGTTTTCCGTATCCGTATGTTACAACTAATTCAGCTGCCGCGGTTAATGTTTTCTTTTCCGTGTGCTGCACGGAGAGAATCTCAGTTCGTGTGATAATTAAATAAGCGTTACACGTCAAATCGCCCACCGAAATGAAAATCAGACTCACTTCTCTCCTTTTCGTTTTCTTCAATATTTCAATTGTTTATTTTCTCTAACACGTAAACCGATGAACCGTCAGCATTCACGTAATGATTTGACAGTCGTGAACGACTGACGCGTGAAGCAAGTGACGAGACGCGGCATCGTGACAGCCAATCAGCATCGCGGAGAAGAGGTCCGACGCTTCGATATATTCGAGTACATTCAAAGTTTCACGCTTTTCTTACGTGAGAGATTAATGCAGGCTATTTGGCTAACTGCTGTGATACGGAAAGAAATCTCAGTTCGCGTGTGACTGAATGAACACACTAAAATTCGTTGACGAGAAAATGATACCTCCGTTATCCTGTCGAGACGCGTAACCTACGCGATGACAGTCACGAGTCGAAGCGAGCAACGACTCGCATCGAGATCGAGATCTCGAGACAGTGAATCAGCAACGCGGAAAAGAAGCTTCAACGCTTCGATACGTTCGAGATACTCGGGCTGTGTTTCGAAAACGTATTGACGATATCGACAGTACCGAAAAATCCATAGTACACGTGACATGGACTATAGATTTTCAGTCATAATCAGCATATCTCGTAATACAGCCTTGACAACAGGCTTTATTTAGAAAGAGGTTAGAGTAACATATAAATCGTATACGTATACCATTTAACTAATTATTATCACACGGAGGAAGAAGATCTCAATCCGTGTCGCAATTAAACAGACGTCACGCTAAAACCCTCTCTCTCTCGTCTCCCTGAAATATCTTCATCCTTTCCTTCAACACGCGCGCAAACTGACGAAGACCGTTAGAAATCACGCGGTGATTCGACAGCCAATCGGTATCGCAGAATTTTGTCAAGCGACACGGATTCGCTAAACGACGTAATGTGCTCGCCACACACACACTCTCGCCGTATTAATTTTAGACGCGAAGCTGCGCGAGGATATTCTTTTTATCGCGATCGATCATCGATCGTTGCGCGTTGTCGTCCTTTCTCTCTCTCTCTCTCTCTCCCTCATCGTCGTCAGCTGGACAGCGGAGGTCGGGCGCGAGATCGCGACTAATCGCGGCACGCTCGCGCGCATCCCGCCCGGCGATCTTGCGTGGGCGTCGCGACGTCACGCAGCACGCCGGCTCGGGCGTATGCGGGACGGCGGGCGGCTGTGCGACGCCTCGCGCCGTCTCGCAGTAGGCGACGCGACCTCGGCCCGTCAGGATCGCGCGCACAGCTGACTTACCCGCGGCGGGGGTCGTGTCGGTCTATTGTAGCCCCACGGGCTCGGCGGACGGCCGAGAAAAACGCGCCACGTGTCGTCGGCGGCCGCGCGCGCTCTCGTTCCGCTCTGTGCGTTGAAAACGTTCGCCTCCGTCATCCGCGGGAGAAAGAAAAAGAGGAGGGCAGATGTTGATCGGGTGTGTGCGTGCGTGCGTGTGTGTGTGTGTGGTGCGTGTCACGCGCGAGGTTCGAGGATGCAGCATCTCGGTGGGAAAAGACGCGACGATAAGCGACGAGGCGGCTGGTGTCGAGAGTGCGCGTCCCGATAGTGGCGCGAATACAGTTCGGGGAGAGAGAGGGAGAGTGGTGAAGTGATTCGAAGAAACGTCTGTTCCCCGGCGCAAATGGTGAGCGAGTCCTCAGCGAGCGGGAGGACGGCGAGGACTGCGAACGACGGGGACGACGACAAGGACGCGCGGCGGCACGCACGTCCCGGGGTCGCGCGCGTCCCGAAGAGAGCCGGCGAGGGAAGCCCAGCACGGGAGAAAGAGAGAGAGAGAGAGTGAGTGAGTGTCGGTTATAGGAGGACGTAACGTAAATTAGCTCGCGCACTTCGCGTGGTGACGCAACGCGCCCAGTGCAGCCGTCGTACGTTCGCCGGTGCGTGCGTTTTACATCCGGCGACGACGACGTCAGAACCCGGAGAGACAGAGAGAGAGAGAGAGAGACGGATAGATAGACGGGTGGAGAAGAATCGACGGGATTATTCCCCGTTCCTGCGGAAGTCGAGTAGCGAGGAAGAAGCCGCCGCAGAATCTCGCCGGCGCTCGCGCGTGTCTGACTCCGCACGACCTTTTCCACTTTCGGCTATCTTGCCGCGCGACTAACGCGCGCACGGGCATTCTTCCACCGGTGATATGCGAGCTCGCCATTTATCTTGGCGGTTTTCAGGTCGTTAGCGGTGCGCGGGGGGAGACAGAACGGTTGGGAGGTACAGGGTGAAGGAGAGAGAGGGAGAGGAAGTAGACAGTGGTAACGGGAAGAGCGACGAGGGTCCTCTCTCTCTCTCTCTCTTTCTCCCCCCCCCTCCTCCGAAACTTTCCAGGACCACCGTTTTACTCGGCGACAGAGAAACCCGCCCTGGTCTCTCCCGCGAAACGGAGGTCACCCCTCCGAGGCGAGCCCGCCGCTCTTCGCCCGCGTTCTGTGTCAACATAACGATAAGTTAAATTTCCGGAGAATTTAAGTTCGCCCGCTCGACGATATTATAATCGTTCGTTCGTTCGTTCGTACCTTCGCTCACTCTACTCGCGCGGATTGTTTGTAAACTACGCTCGACCGATCCGTTTGAATTATAACACCGTTCGCGCGAGCATCGGAAAGGAGATTCGGCACGCGTGTGCGCGAGTGAGTGAGAATGATAGAGAGTAAGAGAGAGCTTGAGAAAGGTAGAGGAGGAAAGAGAGAGAGAGAGAGAGAGCTATCCAATTCGCTACACATTTGAGTCGGCGTTATTTTCGTATCCTGCGAACCTCTTTTACAAATCGAAGTTCTTTCGTTCCTCCGTCCTTCTCTCTCTCCCCCTCTCTCTCTCTCTCTCTCTCTCTCTGTATCTCTCTCTCTCTTTTTCCCGGTCGCTCGCTCGCACGCTCGATAATTTCCATAGCTTGGAATTGCAAGTCATAGTGAGCCTTAAAGCGTTCGGCGATTTGAGAAAAATCGATCAATCTGTGCGCGTTCTCTCTCTCTCTCTCTCTCTTCCGACGATCGTCTCGGAAGCGTCGTGAGCCGCCGCGCTGTTTGTAAACATCATCGATCGACGGTTCGCCCGGTTTAATCGGATCAGCAGCTAATCCGCCCGTTGACGTTTGCTAAACGTTTCTTCAATTTTTTAGCCGGGCTTAATGCCCCCCCCCCTCCCGCAAATCGTCCATCAATCGCGCGACTGAGTGTTTTTTCCCCTCTTCTTCCCGCTGAACCGCAATTTATTTACCAGCTCGCCGCTCGAAGGTTGCCCCGCGCGAATTCGGACGTAGCTCTTTAATTTTTAAACACTTCCCAGCCGCGGCTGCCGGAAGCCTTTGTGTTTCCAACCCCCGTCGGGGGGGGGGGGGGGGNNNGGCAGTTAATTTTCCGCGCAACGCGAGGATGCACGACGACGATTATGTACCTCGGCAAGTATCGGCGAAGTAACGGTATTTCCGTAAAAGTATCGCGACAGGGAAAAACAGCGAGGCAGCGGCGGCGGCCTTAAGAATTCTTCGTAAACAATGAATAGCGAACGAGTATCGATTAAGCTTCAGTGCAACGAGATCAACTCGGTACGCGCTTTTCGCGTAACGAAGAGGGATTGAAGGCCTTGATGGATGAACCATGGCTGCTTTCGCTATTGATGAAACCGGCCAGCTCAAATGTTGCCGCAATTAACGCGCGGCTGATAATTTCACACATGCCGCGAGTAAAAAATGACGTTAATCAGCTTTTCCGCAAGATAACATTTCTCTTTGAGACTCGCGTAGAAATTTTCCCAGATTGTTCCGCGCGTAACACACAGCATAGATTCCGATTAGAATGCCCAAAATTCATCTCTAAATAGGTTGTTCCACTACGATACCAGTTGGGAATCCTGTTATTGTCCGAAACATGGGATACAGCCTCTTTTCCGCGATGTTGATTGGCTGCCATTTACCGCGTGCGACTGTCATCGCTAGACTCGAACGACAGTTTATCAGATATCAGACCGAGTATCAGATTAGGAGGTTAAGAAATGAAGTTACATTTTTAAGCCCGGTTTTCAATTTTCCGGTCAATTTGTGGTTTACGTTTGTAATTTCACGATAATGTAAAAATTATGTTTGTCTATTCATGGTTAATCGTTCAACTTTAAAAGTTATCGTTACAAAACCGTCAGTTTAATGATTAATCAAGAATAAGAAAATATATCGAGTAAGAAAACACGATATTTGCATTATCTTAAGTCTAAACCATAAGTTAACTAGAAAGTAAAAAAGTCGGGTGTTATCCCTTTAATGGCAAGATATATTTTGAACGTATCCAAGAAAATAGGGTTAGATCCGACCCCGTACTCTGTTTTGTTCACTTTTCATGTGATCAATGTACAAAATGGATAAAATAAGTAACTAATAAAATGAAACATTCCTTAAAAAGAAAAACAGCACGTAAAGTAAACAAAGCTGTGGGGTCAATTTGACTCCATCTTGCCGCTAATGTTATTATAGCGCGTTCTACTGTGTAAAGAATGGACACCAAAACCGACATACCATTTTGTTTTTGGGCTCTGAAACCCTGTTGAAAGTGAAAACTAAAATTTATGTGCATGGATGCGAACCAGCAGCTCTTCTCTACCAAGATATATGACAGTTTTAAGAAAATTATTACACGTTTCCCTTTAAGCTTCCACAATGTGGATGAATACTTGATTTGACTTCCGAGTTAACGCCGTGTCTCGTCCTTCATAGATTTGTTTCCGATGTTTCGTGAACATTTCAGGATACTTATTATGGAACTGTTCGGAATGGATTTCTGTTCCGATTGGAACTGTTCCGATTGGAATTCAGTTGTTCTCCAGATTTCCTCTTGTATTTTATAGGGAACAATTAAACGATTTCGGTTGGAATCAATTTCGAACGAGTCCATAATATGTGCTCAGTTCAAACGTGGAGAATAAATAAGTGAAAGACGCGGTGCTAACTCAGAAGTCAAATCGAGTAAAAAAATTATTACATATTTTCTTGCAAATTAATATTTTTTAAGATATTTGAGAATTGACGCTCCTAGAAATTAGCCTCAAAAACCAATATACCCATGATACCTATAGGAAATTATCAAAGAAATAAAATAAAAGCACTTTAATTATATTATTTTGTAAATTTATTATACATATTTATTATACATATATATACTTACATGTTATTTTTAATCTTATACATTTTTAAAAATTTGAACAATATGATGTATATATATGTATATATATTACTCCTTTATTATGACATTATTATGAAAAGGGATTCCCCGTCATTTTCTTTCTGACCATTCTAAACAAATAATCAAGAAGAACAGAAGAAAATCAGTGACCGATAACTTCAACTGTATTTTATGAAATAATATTTCACAACAAAATTTAGATATGCCAATTGAAAAACCGATAAACTCAACTATGTCGGTTTGCAGAACGATCTAACCTTAACTTGTTTTGCACGATTCAATGACAGAAGATGGAAATGGGCACAAAATCGGAAATGATTTGAAAAGTTCAAAACTTACGCTCATAGCATTGTCAAATAAATTATTTATCACTTCCTCATTTCAATTTTCACAAGAAGATTACGCAATTAAAAGTTCAGCACAACAAAAATCAAACGACGCTAATAACACAACCGGACGTGTTTGCAAACAGAAACTGCCACTTCAGTTCCAACTATTGTACATATTAAACGGAGTTCACGTCTAACAGTATTCAGTATTTTACAGCCGAGAAACAGAAGTATCCCTTACAAAAATATTTCATCGTTTTCACTTCCCATATAACCCGTTTTTCCTCGTTTTAGCCCATTTCTTGCACTCTCGTAGGTCGCGTGGTCCGTTAAGCGAAAGAATATGAGTATGCATGAGTAGTTTTGAGGAGATTACTCGCTTTTAACACTCGTTTTTTTGATGAATGGAAGTACGTTAATACGTTCCTCTTTTATTTACTCAATTTCGTTTCAATATAGAAAGGAGCACGTTAAAGAATCGTGCATTGATTCGTGCCATTTCAAAATGTGCAATGTGAGTGCTTGTGAGTGTTAAACGAGTATTTTGTACTCGTAGTTGAATGTGCGTTTACACATCTCAAATTTACACAACACTGTACATGTTTGCCACTGAAAAATACTCAATGGTACGTTTATTCCGCTCGGATATACTCGCATGCAATCCGCTACACCACTCGTTTTTACGGAAAATTTCGGCCTCTTTCTAACTTAAAATCGGAGTCATACTGATAGAAAATGACATATATAATTATATTATTATAGTTAATAATATATCTTTCATGGTGCTGAAAATAACTATAATTTTCTATCAATGTACTCATTTAATTAAATGCACTCTTTCATTATTTAAATTAACAATTTTCACAGTCTAACAACAGTGAAATATTTTTGTAAGAATATGTCAGTACATATTTATGTTTACTTTATTTTTACTTTTTTCAACTCTTGTAAAGAGTTGTAAAAATATTCTCTTGTAACATTTCTCTTGCAAAATCTGTTAAAATTCTCTTGTAAACTCTTGTAAAAGAAATTCTTCTCTTAGTGTACTTAGTGCAACAAGAGAAAAATATTTGGTATTCTGGTAACTTTAATACTATAACTATACACTATAGTAAAAGAATTATTGTCAGGAGAATCATTTTTCTAGTAAGAGTTGCTATAGTGTCAATGATAATAACTTTATATGTATATTACTACTACTATTTCTTCTGATTAAAACTATACAAAAAAGAATATATTTGAAGCTAAAAATAACTATAATTCCTCCCAATATAAATACTTAAAACGTTTTC